GGTTTGTTCCATCTGCACACGAGTCCAATCATCCCCCCGATCCCCAGGATGTGTCCTGTGTGTCCTAGACTTGAGGTTCAAGCCGGGTCATGTGGGTCTGCTGATTATGAGGACACTCACCATATCACCTGGGTCTCCACTGGGTCCCGGGGGGCCTGTGATGCCAGGAATTCCTGGAAGACCCTGGAAAAAATAAACAGACACACAAATTGTTTTAATGAAAAAATGCCAACCACCACTTCAAGACCACCTGAAATCACTTGAATGCTTTTTTTCCTGTTTTTTTATTTATTATTATTCTCAAAAACATAAAATCTTAATAGCATTATGACTTACTTGTGGTCCTGGTGGGCCAGGAGGTCCTTGAAAATATGTGCCCTAGTTAGTATAAAACACAAAGAGATTAGAATTAGATTGCATTAGCCAACATAAATCAGTGTGTGTACAGTATGTGTGTGTGTGTAACTTCACACTCCAGCACTCACTGGTTCAACAACAGCTGGCTCTCCCTTCTGTCCTTTCTCAAATCGCCTGCCCTGTAAGAGAAAGAGCAGGTGACAGATGAGATCTTGGTCACAACTAGCTGAGACTGGAGTTGTTACAATAATACTACTTGTTACAATAAGTAGTTTTAAAAATGTCAGTGTAATTTTGTGATTATTGATACCAATTTTCATACCACACCAAAAACAAATGCGCTAATGGAACATGAACATTTATTTTAAAAGTTAAATATTTAAAGAAAGAAAGAAAGAATGATGAATGAATGTTACTTTTTGCAAATCTTCTGAAGCAATTATTTAAGTAAATGTAAATAAATAAATAACCTACCTACCTAGTGGAAAGTGGAAATGTATTTACACAGGTAAATATTCATAGAAATATTAACTAACTTAATTAAAACAATGACATTTAGCTTCCATTATTTCTCAGTTAAGTAAACATTGCTTTTGCATATTTATGCATATTTTGACATAAATCTGATACTGTATAAAAACTACTATTACTGCATTTCTGTCTTATTTTAGTATCAACTCGGTCCCAAAGAACCAGTACTTTGGGCATCCCTAATTGGGATAAAGAGAAAATCAATATTTGCCTGTGTGTTTTTAGTTAATTTATTATAGAGGTACAAAACTGTACCTCTCCATCCCATGTGTGTGGCTTCTCCCTCTGCGCGGGGTCAAATCGGTCCTCATAAACCTCATATTCCTCATATTCCTGTTCAAAGCTGTTTGAGTCATTTTTAAACTCATACTCCAAGATCTATAAATGCAGAAAACATCCCAACAGAAATGATCACCTCAAACATGCTTGCAATGCTCGGAAAAGCCTGGAAACAGAAACCACATACCTCATAGTCTGTGATATTGGGGCCAACTGTCACTGTGGAGACCAAGAGCTCATTGTGTTCATCGGCATAAAGGTCATCACTAAACTCCTCAACCTCTGGTGTTTTAATCGGCCTCTCTATCTGCACACCAACACAGTAGAGTCAGAAGCAGCACAGCCATGGCAACCGCAACCATGGAGATACCGAACACAGTCAGTCATTTCCACTCTACATTAATTTGGGTTTGCTGGGCATCTAAGCTTTAGACACATTAAGGCCTGAAATATGGTCTACACAAGTACATGACTGCCAATTGTGAAATGTATCAGAATACACTGCATTCTCATCATTGCCACAAGGGGTACTATATAATGAGTATTAGCATACACTTGTCTTGTTCTTCCCTTCTTGTCTTGTTTTTTCCCCTTCTTCAAGTTAACTACTGTCATGGCTGAGTGACAGTAAGATGAAAATCTTGCTTGAAGTTACAGCACTGAAGAGTAGCAGATGTTTGATTGCAACTCTTTCACACCCCCTTGAGTACCGAGATTTGTTTGTAATGCAAGAGTGCATAGTAAAGGATAAGTTCACTTCCAGAATAAAAATTTGCTGATAATTTGCTCACCCCCATGTGATTCAAATTGTTCGTGTCTTTCTGTCTTTAAACCTTAATTTCTTTGCGACTGAAGACAGAAAGACATGAACAT